TATATTTTATAAAATATATTTATGGCCAAGCCCACATTTCTACAATATGCGGGCTGGCAGTATCCATAGAAGAATAGGAAAAAAAAAACAAAAGAACGAGAAATATATAAAAAATGTTGTAACAACAACTTTGCAAACTATACATTGTGACAATGCACTTCTCGGCATATTTTAAGAACAAATCGCTGATTAGTGCACTAATCGACCGATTAGTGCATTGAAAAATTCCTGCATGACCGTTAGAACCGGGCCCCATCGGGAACGGCCAGTGATCAATCCCGAATTAGTTAACCAACTTTTTAAAAATTGGCCGATCTTTTAAACATTGGTTTTGAATGCCCTATACTTATGACGTGTTAGTGAGAAAGTGGAGAGAGAGGGAAGAAATCTGTAAATCAATTTCTTACTCACTCAATGAAGAAGATAAGCCTCCAATAGCCCTTATGTTGTGTGCGCTAGTATTTTGAAGAAGAGAATAAGTAGCTAGTAATTCCTACTGTCACTTGAAGCCCGAGGAGCAGAACGTGGACAACCCCCCGTCACAGTCAGATTTACGGGCTTTATATGCCCCGAAAGTGTTGATATTTTCGATTTTATATATGTTTTCTTATTAGAATATTTTATGTATACTTGAAGGCCCGAATCAAGAGCTTTCGATCCCTTATAGAGGATTGAGGTAAATTGTAATGGGGATTGAAAGTTCCTAAAACTCCTCACGAACTCGAGTCTACGTAAAAGCCCTTTTGGTTCAATATATAAAATTTAAAGGCAAATTTGGCAGTAGGGACAATGATATAGGACCCAAAATGGGACCTATAAATCTAGTACAGACCATAGTTACCGGGAACAGGAGCGTCGGAATGATGTCTGGCCAAAGCTTCGGAGCTCGGGTAGCGAGTTTTGGTGAGGATAAAAGTAGAAGATCGAGATCTTATATGAAGAGGAAGCGCGTTCCCAATACATCGAGATTGAGATCCCTATTTAACAGGAACACTTTCCATGTCAAATGGGATCGTGTTCCCATATTTATTAGGATCGTGCTCCCATATTCATTAGGATCGTGCTCCCATAAACAACATGATCACACCCCCATCTAAGAATGACCATGCTCCTATTTGGAGAGGATCGAACTCCATTCAAGGAAGGATTGTGTTCTGTGCATATTAGTCCACGCTCCCATTACAGAACGATTGAACTCCATTCAAGGAAGGATTGTGTTCTGTGCATATTAGTCCACGCTCCCATTACAGAACGATTGAACTCCATTCAAGGAAGGATTGTGTTCTGTGCATATTAGTCCACGCTCCCATTACAGAACTCCACTTTATGAAAATTTGACTTAAACTATAATTATTTTATTTTAAAAATTAATTTTATTTAAGAAATTTGTTTTAGAATATTTTGGGAAAATAAAGATGGAGTTTCGAAAATGTAGGGATCGCTCTTAAAACTTTGGGAGCGGGGATATAATTTATTCAAGAACGAGATCGTAAAATTTAAAGAACGTGTTCTGTGCAATATCGAGAGCGAGTTCCGTTCTGAACGGGATTGAGAATAATAAAAATTGGAACGAGCTCCCAAAAAGTAGGAAACGAGTTCCGATTGAGATCCCGGCTACAGAGCGCCGGAGCGGGAGCGCCACCCTAGTTGGGCGCTCCCAATAACTATGGTACAGACAACTCATTTTCATAAACCTAGAATGGTGCAATAGTAGGTTTCTAAAGTCTTGAAAGGGGTAAAGAAAGAGTCAATGTGAGGAGTTTCCAAGATTTGAGAATTAGAGTATGCATAGGAACTTAGTGGATTGTACGATGGGAATGGGTTAGCTTTTAATATATGTTGGAAAGTTGAAAGACAAGTAGCATAGATGGGGTTGGTCATTCCAATAGGGAGCTAATGTTTTATGTAATTTCACTTTTGCAATTTGCTGTAATGTTTTATCTAATTTCACTTTTGCATTTGCTGTAATATTAGGGTGAGCTTTGATTTTCTCTCTTTACATTCTCTCTTTGTGTGTTTCTATCATTAAGTTGCAATCTCTATCATGATGTAACTTTTAGACCAAATCTAACATATTCTAGTGAGTTTCATGTCCTTAAACTCTAAAATATTGTGACGAATTTACTAGAACACTCGTACTACTTTGCATGCATAATTAGCAATTCACAACATCATACTTAAATTACTCTCACATATTTATACATACTCCAAAACTACCAATAAAATCTCTATAGTAGTAATATTACAAAGCTCACTTAAACAAACACTGATGTTTAGCATTGTCCGTATATAAAATCCCTTAAAAAAACTAAATAAAACTAGTTAAATGTTTGCAATGGAAACTGGACAAGAGTTGGTAGCAGCACACTTTGAATTATTTCGGCATATAGGGTTTATGTGGCTCCCTCATCTTCAATGGCTGGGATCGAATCCCTTCCTCTCACAATAAGCAACCAAGAAACCACCACATTCTAGAAGTGAGATTTGGAAAGCAACATTTTGGAAAAGTCTTTTGATTTTAGGTTAGGGAGAGAGAAGCCATTCCAATAATGTGTAGGAATATGACTGGGGATGTAGCACTACATGAAAGGTATGAAGAGCGAGAATCTTATTAGAATAGGAATGTTATTGAATAAACCTAAAGTTCAAAAAAAATTCTTGGTTTTTGTGACTCAATCTAAGTCATTCAATTTGACATCCAATAAGTAGGAATAATTGTGATCTTGTTGCATAAAAAGTAAATGGTCACGGTGTATATAATCCCTACACAAATTTATAGTACGGTTTATAGCTATTTTGACCTAAACAAATTTAAAAAAGACATTGTTTTTTAATCCTCTATCTCTTGACATGATTCCCTTTCTCTCTCCCCCAATCAACCTCCCAAACCCCACTCTCTCTATCTACCACCACAAGCACCTCCTCCAAAACCTCCTCCAACGCCACCGCCAATCCCTTCGCCACCACCAGCACGCCCACCAAAACCTCCTCATAGTTCTCCACCATGATGCTTAAATCATGGGCCAAGTGGACCATGCTTGTGGGCCAGCAAGAAGTGCTTATCATCGATAAAGCCATTGCTGACTTCAGCAGCAAACACATTACTCACCACCACCAAAGCCACCACAAAAACCCCAGTTGAAACGGCAACGCCACCCCTCATCTCTATATGAGAATTCAAACTACACCCAAGGTTTCAAGTGATGAGAGAGAGAGAAAGTATTGCAGTATTTATAGAGAGAGAAAGCAGGGACTCTGTGTGTTCATAAAACCAGTGGGTGTTCAAAGTGTAATTGCTTGTACTAGCGGTGGTATGTTCATGGACTTTCATGTTTCTGGGGCTCAAACCCTGACCCTCAAAAACATTCAGAGAAGGAGGAGGCCCCAAAAATCCTTTCCCCCCTTTAATTACTCCATTGATGAAATTTTGAACAACCTACACCAATTCTTGACGACACGAATTAGAAAATGACCACAAATCCAGATAGACCCTGATCTAACCAAAATGATAATCATTTTCAAAGAACCTAGCTCAAGATCTTCATTAGCCGAGGCCAAACACTTGTTGACTGAGTCCAAAACCCTGAAAAATTCAAGGGGATTCCCTTCGTTATCCGGTTCTTCCACTTCTCCACCGATCAAGCCATTGGGATCAACTTCTGAAGACATTCCAAAAAGAAGCTCGAATTTTTATCTCTTTCTGTTACAATTAACTTTGAATAAACTTGCAAAGATCAATTTTAGAGAAAGAGAGATTCTGTTTTTTTCCGGTGAGAAATGTGTGTTTTTCGGTGTGGCCTTTTTCGGAAAAGGGAGATGGAGGCAAAAGATGGTGAGCCTATTGTAGGTCGAGAGTAAGAGCAAGAGAGCAGCTAGAGAGAAGGTAAGTAATAAGAAGAAGAGAGGGGTTATGAGCATGACGAGTCTAGAGAGAAACATGGGAGGAGAAAGTTAGAAAAAAGGTGTCTTTTTTAATTTGTTTGGGTTAAAAATTGGAATAAAAATAGATAAAGTTATTTGGGGATTAGAAGATAGGTTTTGAAATTTTGGGTTTCGGAAGAAATGAAAGTTAAAAATAGGGTCTAAGGAGATATTTTCCCTTTTTAAAAAGGATTGTATGCAATGAGACCATTTATTGAAGTTCCTATAAGGCCTAGGCTTTATAAAAACAAAATAAAGCCTCACCCCAAATCCTCATTTGGAAAGCACTTTCAATATCGAAAATCTTCATGATGGCCCTAAAATCAATTTCCAATACCAAAAATAAAATTTGAAACTAAAAAAATTGTACAGATCTTACAAATTTGTAAACACTTATTTTTAGGGCGAAATGGATGGTCTAGATGATTTGTTGTAATATACACTAGTTTTAGAACTCGAAATCCTAATTTTCTTTCACAATCATAATGTTCAAGCTGAGATGATCGATTTAAAGGTTTTTGACACTTAAATTACAATTTTTGATGAGTAATGAGGTGAGGTTTTATTTATTTTGATAGGGTCGCCGCTCTATCTAACCATTTTCCGTTATCTATTGTCCAAGGAGGTCACAATTGGTTATAACCATCCGATATGAAATTTTATAGTTTAAGTGTGTCACAAAGTTTGAGAGAATTTCTTTTGAACTTTGTGTTTGGTCAATGGAATAAATGCATTCACCTAATTTCATATCCATAGGTGAAGATTAATTGTGACCACCTTGTACAAAAAGTAAATGGTCTCATCGTATATTTTTCTATTTAAAAATGTCAATCCAAATCCTGATCATGATTGATTTTCAGTAGGACTAATCTAGTTCCCTCAATATATCATGAACCAAGAGGTTCCATATAGGAACCAACCCGATAGAAGTAGCCGATCCAACCCTATATTTTTTTTTCCCCTCCAATTTTTGTTGTTTTGGGGTAGCTTGTTTAGGGTGGATTGCCCATCTGGATTGGCGATTAGCGACCTAGACCTGTTTCATGGCCTTGCTTATACGGGTTTTTAAACACTGGCTTCCACTGATGCCACCCTAGATGCATGGTGCGGATCCCACCTCGTGTAATTTATAACAACCACTCGTTTGAGAAATATTTTCCCAAAAGGAATCAACCACTATTGAGATCAATTTCCTGATGGTCCTTATCCAAATCCTATACCTTGATTATCTATCCACAGAAGTTTGAGCTCCAGGCCAACTTTACAAAAGAGAACACAAGAAGTGAAGTGGTCCTCAAAGATCAAAACATTTTCCATTGTTTCAAGGTAGAGAGTGTGAGAAATAACACCGGTGCATATGCTGTCACTCCATGTTAGGGAATTCCAATAGAAGTCTAAGCCCCACTTCCTCCACTCTTCCACCAGCCATCCCACTAATCAGGCTTCAATGAACCCTGCTGCGAAACCACAATCAACTAAGCTAAATCTCTCCTCTTTCCATCCCACTCATGGCCTCTTACATGGCCATCAACCTATGTTCACTACTTTGATTACCGGTCTCCTCTCCTTTCTACTCCTCTATCTCCACCATTCTAACAAGTCAGTCAGGCGACCACCTGGTCCTTCAGGTCTCCCCATCATCGGTAACCTCCACCAACTAGGTTCCTTGCCGTACCGCTCCCTAGCCCACCTTGCCAAGATCTATGGACCCTTCATGCACCTTAAATTGGGCCGAGTCAGCACTTTGGTAGTCTCCTCTCCTAAGATGGCCGAGCTGGCCATGAGGACCCATGACCGTGCCTTGTGTAGCAGGCCCATCCGTGCGGCCACCAACCACCTTACCTACAACAGCACAGATGTGGTCTTTGCACCATATGGACCATATTGGCGCAACGTAAGGAAGATTTGCATCCTGGAGCTCCTCAGCTCAAAGAGGGTCCAGTCGTTCCGGAATGTGAGAAAAGAGGAAGTGGGGCTCCTCGTCGACTCGATCTTTGTATCCTCCAAAGCTAAAGCTCCTGTCAATTTGAGAGATGCGTTTCATTCTCTCACTAACAATGTGGTATGCAGAGTGGCACTTGGGAAGAGTTATAGGGAGGACGAGCCGGAGTTGGAGGAGATATTGAATTCTTCCCAGCCATTGACTAGTGGCTTCTTTGTGGGGGACTTCTTTCCATCATTGGAGTGGGTGAAATATTTGACAGGGTTTCAAAGGAGGTTGGAGAAAAACTTGAGGCAAAGGGATTCTTTCCTTGAGAGAGTAATCGCTGAGCACCTTCTTCCTAGAGCTCCAAAAAGAGGGCACCCCTGATTTCACTCTCTCTAGAAATAACATCAAATCTGTTGTTATGGTAGGCAACAAATTGAACATGCTTCACTGTTTACTGCATTTCACGATTCATCCCTTTCCCTGTCTACTATTTGAACTTTTCTCTATTCCAATTATGCTTTATTTATCTCTTAGACAAATGTTTAATAGTGTTGCTGATAAAAATGAAGCAATAAAATTGCCGCACTACTTCTTGGAATTTGATTTTTTTGTCAATTTTCTGCGAGTGGTTTTAAAATTGAAATTTGGTACAAATAAGAAAGAAGGGATAATGAATATTTTGAAATTATTCACCCATATAAATATATTTGGTAGTTCATCTGCAAGTTTCAACTCTACTTCTCAAGTAAGAAGAAATAACAATATTTGCCAATTATAATTGACTTGCATCGATTTCAGCCAAAGTCTGGTTTTTAATTCCCACTCTCCACCATATTTACCGGGAGCGGGAGCTGCTCCGGTTCCGATTCCTGTTCCAAGTGCGGGAGCATTGGAACGATGTCTGCCCAAAGCTCCGGAGCTCGAGAAGCGAGTTCTGGTAAGGGTAAAAGCAGTGGATCGAGATCCTGTATGAAGAGGGAGTGCTTTCCCAATACATCGGGATCGAGATCCCTATTTAATAGGAACACTTTCCATATCAAATGAGATTGTGTTCCCATATTCATTGGGATCGTGCTCCCATCGACAATAGGATTGTACCCCCATCTGACCGTGTTCTTATTTAGAATGGATCAAGTTCCACTGAAGGAAGGATCATGTTCTGTGCATGATTAGTCCATGCTCCCATCGTAGAGCTCCACTTTTATGAAAATTTGGGTTAAATTGTTGAGGATCGATCTCTTGTATTATTAAGAAATAGATTTGCCAAGGTGGAGTCAAAAGGACGACTCCGGAGGGCCGTTAACAGCCCAGGGGAGTGTCCGGCTAGGTAGAGTCAGTTGACTTGGCCACTGTGGGAGTTTGGGAGTGGTAGGCCCCGAGGAAAATTTCAGATATCTGTACATGGGGTATTTCGATAATTTGTACCATCTATTTGGGACTCGATATATATTGTTGCCATGTGGTTTTTTTTAGGGTCAAGGGAAAAGACGTAGATCTCTTTGTAATAAGAGATAACAGAGAGGCGTGAGGAAGAGAGCTATTGTAACCCTATTCTCCATTGCCAATAAAGAAGTTCTCATATCCCGTGGATATAGACACGTTGCCGAACCACGTATATCTTTGTGTTGTAGTTGATTGTTTCTTTCTTTTGTGTTTGTTATTCTTTCTTGTTTTCGTGTATTGCTTTTCGTTTCTACAAATTAGATCGAAATCCCTATTTAACGGAAACACTTTCCATATCAAATGAGATTGTGTTCCTGTATTCATTAGGCTCGTGCTCCCATCGACAACAGGATCGCGCCCCCATCTAAGAATGATCGTGTTCTTATTTGGAAAGCATAGAGTTCCATTAAAAGAAGGATCGCTTCTGTGCATGATTAGTCCATGCTCCCATCGCAGAGCTCCACTTTTATGAAAATTTGAGTTAAAATATAATTATTTTGTTTTAAAAATTAATTTTATTTAAGAAGTTTTTAGGATGTTTCAAAAAATAGGGATGGAGTTTCGGAAATGTGGGAATCGCGCTCCTAAAACTCTGGGAGCGGCGATCTAATTTATTCAGGAACGAGATCCTAAAATTTAAGGAACGCGTTCCGTGCAGTATCTGGAGCGAGCTCCGTTGTGAATGGGATCGAAAATCTTAAAAATAGGAGCGAGCTTCCAAAAGTAGGGAACAAATTCCAATCGAGATCCCGGCTACGGGGCGCTGGAGCTGGGTTCCGGAGCGGGAATGCCACCCTAATTGGGCACTCCCGGTAACTATGCTCTCCACAACTCTGTATTATCCCGTTCTATACTTCTAATAGTGACTAGAAAAGCATGTTACGTTACCACACATTCTCTATTTTGAGTCATCCAATTCATCAGCAAGCAAGCACCTTTAATGGCTGCCATATTCGTCATCATTGTTCATTAGTAAATACCGTATTAGTGAAAAATGGCTAGTAATTGCGCACGATAAGCAGCACACTGAATTGCAAATGTTTGCAGGACATGTTTGCAGCTGGGACAGCTACCACTGCGACAGTACTAGAGTGGGGAATGTCTGAGTCGATAAAGAACCGATCAGCAATGAAAAAAGCCCAAGACGAAGTACGAGGGATAGCTAAAAGCAATAACAAAAGCATGATAGAAGAGAAAGAATTGCAACAGCCCCATTACCTGAAAGTAGTGGTGAAAGAGATCTTGCGATTGCACCCTCCAGCTCCATTGTTGATTCCTCATGAATTGGTCGAGGATTGCGACATAGAAGGCTACTTTGTCCCTTCAAAGACCACAGTTTTGGTGAATGTTTGGGCAATTGGGAGGCACCCAGACTCGTGGGTAGATCCAGAAGAGTTTAGACCTGAAAGGTTTATAAGTAGTAATATTGACTACAAGGGCCAAGATTTTGCGCTGATACCATTTGGGGCAGGCCGAAGGGGATGCCCTGGAATTTCCTTTGCAATGGTTATTTTAGAGCTTGCATTGGCCAATCTCTTGCTTTGCTTTGATTGGGCAATGCCTGATGGAATGAATAATGAGGACCTAGACATGACAGAAGGTACAGGGCTCTTTGTGCTCAAGAAAACCCCCTTGCTGCTAGTGGCAACTCGACAAGCACTTGATAGTAACAGTAATGGCGATTGGTAACGATTTTTGTGTTCTTTTCCAACTCTTTAGTATTGCTAATTTTCCCTTTGCTCCTGTTTGGTTCCCTGAGAATGTGACATGTGGGGAAATGTGTATTGAGGAATTCGTATCTCCTAAAATTAGCATTTCCTAAAAGATTGGTATATGTTGTTTGGATGGTATCTGGCATAGACATGGAAGATGAATCTTCATCGTTTGGATTGCTTGGCAGTTTAATCTTCAGGAAATTCAAAAAATTTTATTTATCATTATTTTTTTAAAAATAATCATTCTCAATCTTTCTATTACTGTAGTTAACAACCATTTAGGTCCTTTTTAGTGTATATCCAAATGAGGAAAAAATGGCGACATTTCAATATTGCTGAGTTTGTCTTCTAATATCTAACAACAACAAAATTTGATGAAAAAATGGAAGATACATTTTAATAGGTTCAATATAATATCTATTTTTGCAAAGGTGAGAATCTTTCATTCCAACAATCAATCTCATGAAACATGTGCATTCAAATGTTAACATCTTAATTATATTAACTAAATAATAATATAATATTATTTTATTATTATAATAATATTTTAGAAAAGTATATAATGAGACTATTTATCTTTGGTACAAGATGGTCATAGTTAATCTTCACCATTAGATTTGAAATTGGATGGTTGTATCTATTCCATTAACCAAGCTCAAACTTCAAAAGAAATTTTCTTGAATTTTGTGACACACCGAAGCTATCAACTTTTACATCAGATGGTTGCAAGTAATTGTGATGTCCGTGTATTAAACGTAAATGGTCTCATTGTGTACACTCCCTAATATTATTATGATAACAATATGATATTATAATAATATTATTAAAATATAATAGTAACATTATTATAATAACTATTATAATTATAATTAGAAAAAATATCTCTATAGTCCCCATTTTGAACTTTCATTTCTCCATTGATCTAAGGTTGCAAAACCTATCATACTACATAAAAATTCACTCTCTAATATCTCCTAACCGCCTGAACATATTTTATTCATTTTTTACTAATGTTTTTTACCCAAACAAATAAAAAAAAGAGATTGTTTTTTAAACCCCTCTCTCTCCTCACATGATACATTTCTCTCTCCCCCAATCAAACTCCCAAACCCCTCTCTTTATATCTCCCCCCTCACCAACTCACCAAGAAACTACACTACCCCGGTCACCTGCTCGCGAAAAAACTACAAGAGGCGATGATGGGCTCCAAGAAATGCCACTGGTTTCGATCTCTTGAGCCATTGTCATGGCCGACTTAGTCAAAGAAAGAACTGCCTCTAATTGAGTCCAAAAACCCATGTCTCCAATTATATCTTCAACTTCTCTGGCAAGAGGATTCTGTGAGCGAAGAAGCTTAAAGGAGTCGTCCATTACAACAAGTTGCAAAGCTCGAACAGTGGCCATGATGTCCTCTAAAGTGGGGAAAATCAGAGGGAAGTTTTTGCCAGAAAATGCATCAGAAAAATGGTTTTCTCGCAAGACTCTGATCAGCCCCACCGTATCATGCTCCTGCAATTGCAACTTCTCAAACCCAGCTCTCAATTGAGCTCTCGAGTTAAAAGAAGTTTGCGATTTTTAGGCAATTCATAGCTACTTTTAGAAACAAAGGTAGTTGTTTGCCGAAATCCTTGATCAAGCTATTGAACCCTTGGAATTGGCAAGAAAGGTTCACCATCCAATGGTTTTCAGACTCCAAATTCCTCAAAGCCTTGGCTTTGAACCTATCGACGACTATACCAACACATCTCTGAACAACTCCACCATTAAATTGCATTTACACTGTCCCAAAGTGTTCCCTCAGCAAAATTGAGGGAACAGAGCCAGTAGTGAAAACTGCCTTTCTAAAAGGAATGGTTCCATTAGGGAGGTTAACTGGTAAACGAGGTTTCTATTTCTAGAGTGATGAGAAGAGGTAGCAGTTGGGGCAGAGAGAGAGAGGATGGTGAAATGGGGCAAATGATGGGGAAGCTAGAGAGAGGTTTTGGGAGATTTGCAGTGAAATTGGGGCAAGTTCCTTGCTTTAGGTGCTTGGAAGCTGTTCTCGAAGGGTTGGAAGCAGAGAAGAGAGAGTTTGGGCACACCAGTGTCCTGGTTTTGAACCAGGATGGGCTCGAGAAGAGCCCAATACCAAGTTCCAATGCCTCTAGGAAGCTGCGGCAAGGAGATCCCTTGTCTCCTTTCCTCTATACAATTTATGCTGAATGCTTTAGTTTAATGTTAAATAGAATGGAGAATGAAGGCTATTTCACTGGGTTTCGGATTGCTAATTCTGATATCCAAATCTCTCATCTTCAATATGCAAATGATACCCTTATTTTTTGTCAGGCAGAGGCCCTTCAAGTTTAAAACGTTGGCAGATTTTTGGATATCTGCGAAGCAATCTTGGGTCTGAGATTTAATTTCCATAAATCTTCCATGGTTGGGACTTATTGTGAGGATGGGATGATAGAGGAGATAGCTAATATTGTGGATTGCAAGGTTAGCTCCTTCCCAGTGACCTATTTGGGTCTTCCTATCTCTGATTCAAGACTTACGATTGCTATCTGGGATATAGTGCTTGAAAGAGTTAAAAAAAAGTTGGACTTATGGAAGTACAAGTATCTCTCTTTGGGTGGTAGAGTTACTCTTTTGAAATCGTGTTTTTTAAATCTCCCTATATACCAGATGTCTTTAATAAATATGTTTGCCTCGGTTGTAAGAAAATTGGAAAAAAATGACGCGAGACTTTCTCTGGGGCTCCTATTCCAATGGGAGGAAGTTCCATTTGCTTAGATGGGATACAATATATATACTTAAGAAAGATGGTGGGTTGGGATTAAGGAGAATTAGGGTGTTTAACCAAGCACTGTTATGTAAATGGTGGTGGAGGAGCTTTAAAACTCAAGAACCATTTGTGGTATAAAGTTCTTATAGATAAATATGGAGTTGATAGATTAAAGGTGTGGTTGGCTAATGGGCACGAAAGAGAGGTTTCACAGGTGTGGTTGGGTAATGGGCATGGAAGAGAGGTTTCACAGGTGTGAAAGTTTATCTTTAGATGCAAGCCTATTGTTTCAGGTTATTCTAGATGAAGTGTTGGTTGTGGTACGCAAGTGTCTTTATGGCATCATAAATGGATAGAGGATTATCCATTGAAAGTGGCCTTTCCTGATCTTTATGGATTGGTAACTCAGCCGACAGTGACTACTCATGAAGCTTTAGAAAGAAGTGGCCTGCAAAGTTCTTAGAATATTGCTCTATCTTATGGCAAACTAAGTAATCACCTATTATCTCAATGGTGCTCTCTTATGAAAATGCTGGATAACACCTATGTTGTTGCTGATGCTGAGGATGAGATTATATGGGAGATTGAAAGCGATGGTGTTTCTTCGGTGAAATCTTGTTATAATCTATTATTCCAAGATAGGATTAGATGGTCTAACTCCAATGTTGCTGCTGTTTAGAAATGGCCTATACCACATAAGGTACAATGCTTCATTTGGCTTGCTTCTTTGAATAGGAATTTAACGGTTGATGACTTGATTAAAAGGGGAAAAATTTTGCCTAATGTTTGTCTTTTGTGTAAAAAAGATAGGAAAACAGTGACACATCTCTTGATCCATTGTTCCTTTACATCCCGTGTGTGGTCCTGGCTTTTCTCCACACTTGGGATACTTTTTGTCATGCCCCACTCAGTGGAAGGTATTATTTCTTAGATGTCTTTAAGCCATTTGTCGGTAGGTGGGACAGTCCTATGGAAGATTTCTAAAGGGGTTATCCTTTGGGAAATAGGGAAGGAGAGGAATATAAGAACCTTCGATGGGAGTTCATTATCCTTTGAAAAGCTCATAGCCAAAATTAAGCAATTCATTGGGATATGGCTATCAGTGACTAAGGAAGGTTGGGGTATTTCAATTGTGGATGTTTTGTCTAATCTTCACAATCTATTTTCCCTAGGTATTTCTCGTCCCAGTCTAAAGAGCTTTTGGTTAGCACCTGACTTTGGGAGTGTTAAGCTAAATTTCGATGGAAGTTCCTTTGGAAATCCAGGTAGGGCTGGCATTGGTGGTGTTGTACGTGACTCCACGGGCTATGTTATTCTCTCCTTTGCTGGACCGCTAGGGAATAAAACTGCAAACTTTGCTGAATTGAGTGCTTTGTTGTGTGGGTTGAAAATTTTGTATGAGAGGATCATTACTGGTAATGTCTGGATTGAAGGAGACTCCTTGTATGTGACAAAATGGTGTAAATTGGAACATAAGGTTTTGTGGGAATTGCGATATTTGTGGTTGCAAATAATGGATCTAGTTGGACCTTCTATTTCGTTCAATCATGTCTATCGGGAAGCAAACTCCATTACCGATTCTTTGGCTAAAGGAAGTGCATCGTTACCTTCGCTGTTGATGTGTTCTGATGTAATTTCTTTCACTTAGTCATCAATAATACTTTTGAACATTTGTCAAAAAAAGAGTCTTTCTTAATTTGTTTGGGTTAAAAGTTGGAATAAAAATAGATAAAGTTATTTGGGGGGTTAGAAGATAGGTTTTGAAGTTTTGGGTTTAAAAATAAATGAAAGTTGAAAATAGGATCTATGGAAATTTTTTCCCTTATAATTATGATTATTAATATAATAGATAATAGTAATGTTATTATATTATTATTATAGTAATTATATTCTTATTATTCAGTAATAAAATAATATTATTTTATTTGTGTTATATGATATTATAGTGTTGTTACATAGGTGAAACTATGAAAGTATAATATATTATTATTTAATAGTATCATTATTTATAATTATTATAATATTAAAATAGAGTAATGATTCTATAGGACCCTCCCCCACCCATGTGTGTAGGACTCCAAAGGATCACCATTAAAGTTGGCACGTATCTCTAGAAAAGTTATGACATGGGTGTGGGACTTGATTTTTCTATATATCCGTACCAAATTTAATGGTGATCCTTTGGGTTCTTACACACATGAGTGGGGGAGGATCCTATAAGATCATTTCTCATGAAAATATCATAATCAAATAAAA